CAACAAATCTCCCACAAAAAAAAACAACAACAACATTAGGCTAACTTCTTCCTCCTCTTCTTACTTTCCCTCTGCTTATTCCTTCCCCTTTGATGTAACTACTGCTAACATCAGGGGTGCCACGGGATAAAGTGATACTCATGGGGTGGAGCAAAGGCCACTGCCCAGTTTATTGTGCACATTGCAAATACATGATGCTCTCTACCTGTCCCCGACTTTTTATTTTTATTATCCAAATTTTTATCATGCATACTAGATATTACCATGCGAAAGACATCTGACTAACCTCGCTATCAAAATCATCGGTCGATGCCAATGAGTATATGCTGCCTGTCATGCTGTTGCTGGGGTGCGAGTTCGTGAACGGTCGCAGTGGAGTAAAACATTGCATGGCGCATACGGGGTCGTTTCTACCATCATCGCGCACGAGGGCGTTTATCGCTGGCTTTGATTCTTCGCTCCTCGTGGTGCGCCGCGCCTCTTCACCCCTGCTACCAATGTTATCCCCCAAACTAGGGGCAAAACAATTCTTGCTGATGGCTGCCGCATCCCGACTCGTCCGAGTAGAGCGGCGGAACGACGTCCTGAAGCTTGAAGAATCCACACCCAAGATATGGGCGGTTGAGGTCGAAAGGACTGATTTAAATACAGCGGCATCGCACCTTTTCCGATGCTGAGAGCTAAAGAAAGGAAGGGCGCCAAACTCCAATGAAGTATCCAGATTCGGATGCATTGTTAACGATCTCCGCGAGTTGGAGGATGGCAAAGCACATACAGAGGGCCTCATCTCCATACCATCCCCTAACAAGTTGAACGTAAGCAGCGAGGTTCGCGTTGAATGCGTTGAGATGCATTTACCGTCATTTTTTTTTTGGTCAATATAATTGCCACTAGAAGTATCGAAATTAGTTGTACTACTAATAGCACTACTAACACCACTACTATCACTCTTCTCCGCAGTTGGGAAGGCGAACGCCCGTCGCAGCAACGACTTGGCCCACCAGAGGCTTTTATGCTTCTTCTGCGGGCGTTCCTCCGTGGGAGTTAATTCCTGCTGAACCTCATCTTTGCTGCATTTCCATGATACATTCGACAACCTAAATGGTTCGGAGGCTTTGTTACTCGAGAGATCTGACACCCGTCGCAATGACGCAACACATTCCTTTTCATCGGTAACGATTGCGTCTGTGGTGTCATGAACTGTTGTCGGTGTCAATTGCCTCGTTGCTGAGAGATATGTGGATAATTTCTTTCCTGCTGTTTGGACGTCCATTTGCGTTCCCAGGTTACTGCTATCAGTGGACCGTGCAATGATTGCGTTCGGCAGGAGCGGAAGTTTCAAGGAGGATTGATTCTTCTGTGAGTCATCGTCGGTGCCCTTAATGGGTAATTGCTGAATCGTAGCAGATAATTCACATTTTTTCGAGATTGGGTTTCTCTCCTTAGAATCCTCCACATCTTTATGAACCCGTATACTGTAATCATGCGCCTGTCCAGTGAGAATAGAGTTTTGCAGAGGGTGCGGCAAAAGGGGCAGCGCGAGACACGCCTGAGCCTCCGGAGCAACCAAATCTGCACCATACTGCAAGAGTCGCGGCGTATTTGGCTGCGCAACCTCCGTCAGCGCCTCGATTTGCGCCTCCACGTTCCACGTCGGAGGCTGTTCTGGGGGTGGGCTGTGTCTCGCTTTGATTGTCAATGGATGCATCTGTGCTAGTGTCTCACTGCAGCGCAAGACGGAAGCGTGCCGCCTACCATGTCTATCACAGTTAACTCTTCTTTGATCGTCACCGTTGCAAGGAACCGCAGAGAAAGGCGCCCTTCCGCCAGGCTGTGGCCCACCTAGATTTCGTGGAAAAGCAACACTATGGGGTGACCTTCTTCTGGGTTCATTTGGTGCCGTCTGTGCGAGTGAGGCGAGACGACCGTGCTTTACTAAATATCCTTGCTGGTGGCGCTGCGCTTCCAGTGATCGTCGCTGTAGAGGTTCTCTAGGACTGCGGGTACTTTCTTCCTTGCTCTTCTCATGGTCTCCCCCCTGCACTTCCCCTAAAACCCAATTGGTGCCTATATTCACATACCGAGATCCCTGATCCGTCAGCTTGCTTTTACTGGAAGACGTCTTGCCCGCTTCACTTAACCTGGCGCCGCAGCGGGTGTAAAGCTGCGCGCCTCTTGTACTGCGCAAGTTCCAAGGGTGCGTGAGAAAGCGAACTTCAGTGCTTGTGACGTTCCTACCTCCAGAGGAGGAGCTTGTAGAGAAACTCACCAGCGACGCGGTTCCTACACTTTCCCGCCCATTTGCCGGGGGCCCATGCTCTCGTTCTGTGCTCATGACGTACGAGCCTGCTGCTGTCCGAACGAATGCGACACCAACACCTCAGGATGAAGAATGACAAGCGTGGCGGGACGTGCTGCCCGGACACTTCCACAAGACTCCCCAACCAAAAAAAAAAAAAAAGAAAAAGAAAAACAAACAAACAAACAAAATAACAACTAATCAATAGGCCTAAAAGTATTCTGTCACTGAAACTATTGATAAGCTTTGCGTCTCCGCAACAATATATATTTAAGAAAAAAAGGAAAAACAAACGTAGAGAACGAGACCACCAGCAATAATGTGCCAGATGACCACCAATACCCAAAGAATAATAACTCTGAATGAAATTCTACACACACAAAACAAGACAAGAAAAAAGAAAAACAGTATCAAATACAATTCGTCTCATGCGCTCCACAGCGTCGTCATCGTATGGAACCCCCCAAAATAATGTGGACGTATACACAAACAATAAAGAGAGGAGAGGCCCCATGTGCGGCATGCACCTCACTCCATTGGTGGTGGAGGTGGTGGGCGCAGGACCTTGTCCTCCTCCCGTATTTCCACACCTTGTACTCTGTGGAACTTGTCTGCTCCTGCCAGTGGTGTTGACCGCTTCTTGGCTCCAGACCACGCTGCTGATGCAGGTACTCCTTTCCTGGCTGAGCGTCCTGAAAGTGCCGAAATTGCTGTCTACTCACCTCAGGGTCGTACACCTCCTCCAATGTGGGTCGGAACGTCTTGCCCTGTGTCCTTCGGGATTCCCATGCTGTCATACTCATAGCTGCTTGTAACGGTGAAGTTGTGGTGCTTCTCGAGTACATAAACGACCCGTCGGTCGTCTTCAATACACTCATCAATCAACTGCTTCTCCGTCGCCATTGCCCGCCGTCGAAACGCAAATCGGCACTACGCAATCATGCTGCGTCGCCTGATATTTTTGAAGTTAATCAGGCCCTTCAAAATATTGCGATACAGAAGAAGGACAAGACTCTTGTGCTCCTGTGTGGGGGTGTACTCCCACGGCTCCCGCTTGCTTGGTTTCTGCTGCGGTGGCTGCCGACGCTCCTGCAACAGCAGCGCAGCTGCCGCTGCCCCACCGCGATGAACACAACGAAGCATGACAGACTGCGCAGCCACCACACTTCTCTCTAAATACACAAGAACACCTCCCACATCCACACCCACGGACAAGGTTGTTTCTCAGCTCTTCCCACACCAAGAGACGGTGCGAGGCTTTATCTGTGGCCGTGCCCGTGTCAAAGGGCTCGCACCTCCGTTGTTTTCTTCTCGTTTCCCCTCCCCTCCCCACCCCACACCTGCAAGACACACCAACTTCTACTTTTCCTCATTTGTTGCTACGCATGTAGATAAAATGCACACTGTATGAGAAAGAGAAAAACCAGAACCAATGAGGAATAAAGGTACAAAAAAGAAGACAAACCCACACACATTGTCCTCACGGACTAACATGCGGCCCACCATGTAGATTTATGCAAACAAAGCGAACTACACATGCAATATATATTCGCTTCTACTCCTCTTTGTTCAATGGCAACTACAATACTGATCTTTTTGTTTTACTTCCTCGCTTTCTTCGCTCCTGCTCCATTTTTCTCATTTCTCATTTTTCTTCTTCAAAGAAATCACAACCGCACAAATTGCAAAATTCAAGCTGACAAAAAACAAACAAACAAACACAATTGGGAAAGAGACACGCATCACATCACGGAGAAACAACGCCTCTCTGTTTGCAGGCGTGACTAAATCATTTGCTGTTTTTGTGTTGTGTTGTTTTGTTTTGGGGTGGGTGGGTGAGTGGGGAGGAGAAGGACGGCAAAGGAGTTAACTCCCACAGGGCTACAACGCACTGCAACAGCCAACGACTACACCATGTATATACAGTCGAATCCGCAGTAGTACTTACGTATGTGTATGGAGTTTGTTGTAGGCATGTAAACAACGCAACAACAACACGACAGCGGCAAACCCTCCCCTTACACTCTCAACAAACGGACACACCAAGGAAAAGAAAAGGGAATGAGCATAACAAACAAAGCAAAGGGAGGGAGGGGGAGGGGAAACGCAAAGGAAAAAAAAACATACAGAAGAAAACAAAAATAAAACCAGGTTGAATGTGCGTGCCGAACTTTTTTTGCCTCGCCCCACATTCACTACTTGAGTAAAGCACTCACACTTCTACGAGGCCAGAAACACCCTTCCTCCTCCTCACAGAAACACAACAACAACAAAGAAAAGGCATCACATCTTTTCAAAGTTAGATTCCCACTAATAGTAATATATATATATATATTACTTGTTTGCATTTGTAATGATCTGCACGTTAATATCCCAGCCGGTGAACGGACACATTCCTACACTCAGAGAGAGAGAGAGAGAGAGAGAGAGACAG